TTAAAGCTTTTTAATAAATATCTTAATATGTTTATATTATATTTCATATCAAATTTTATAAAAATTGAAGTTTTAATTAAATATATTAATACCTTGATATTAATAATATATAAAAATATTGTATATCATTGAGTTTTTATTAATATGTTCCATATTAATAATACATAAAAATATAAAATTTCTTATTAGAAGAGTTTGGATAGAAGTGAAAAGAAAACAACAAAAATTTTTAAGAAATCATTAAAGTTTGGCTGTTTCGAGTATTCATTAAGTACTCATCATGAGTCATTGCTTCTAAGCAGTTCAAACCAATTATATACGAACTATCAACTAATTAATAAATTCGAGTATTTCGTAAGACCACTGATGATGAGTGCTTAACAATACTCGACACAGTATGGTCTGCCAAACTACAATAAATCAACTCAACATTGTTGTTGTTGTCTTTTCATTTCTATTCAAACCCTTCTAATTTTTAAATAATTTCTTTTCGTCAGAAGACGCGTCACATTTGACAAAAAAATTAACATTCTATAATTTCATAATGAATTTTATTAAAACTTAAGATATTTTAATAAAAATATTAATTACTTTATATTAGTAGTATGTAAAATATATATAATTTCATATTAAATTTTATTAAATATTTTTTATTAAATATTCTAATACCTTTATATTAGTAGTATATTGAAATATATGATTTCATTTAAAATTATATTAAAATTGCTACAGTAATGATCCATGAAATAATTTAACATCCTTTATTAGGTTTTATTTATTGATGAACTAATACACATACTTATCTCTCTTGGCCCTTTGAAAAAGTATTTCTAACGTGGTTTGATATAGTCCTTAAGTATTCATTATTTTACTATATCAAATTTGCTTCATTATAAAATTTGTTACAAAACTATCAATTAAGTAATTAGCATAACAAACCAAGAGAGTATACATATCTCACCCTAGAGACAATGCTATTTTATAGTGTTCTTGATATTAAACATATATTTGATAGTTTATGATATTCATAAAATTTAATTGTTACTACCAACAAATGTTCTCCTAGGCATGAAATCTAATTTACGAGAAGAAATATTTTCAGGAGAAATAATATTCATTTATATATCTTGATTTTTTAACACATGCTGGTATACTGTCTTGGCACACTTCTATTTAATATGGTCATGTCTGATATTTCAACAAATACCTGTTTTGTTATCCCAATGGTGTAGGGATAAGGTGTAGAATTTTTTTGTCACCATTAAAGCACTTTAGATGCTTTCAGGTAACTTGAAAATCACTTAAGTGGGACAAAAAAATTCAATGACTTTATACAAAAATATGGGTTATACAAAAAATACAAAAAATGGATTAAATAATATTTGGCTCTAAATTATCTTTGATTTATCACAACCGTAACTGCATATGAAGACTACTTAAACTTAAATGTCTTCACTAATCTTGTTGGAATTTTAAAACTATTATCAACAACTCTACTTAACTCAACAGCGTCTTCAAAGCAATCTCAGCTATGTGTATCATTCTAAAAGATCTTAGTCTCCTTTCAGTTTAAATAGGATAATTCCATATAGAAAAAATTTGCTTTAAGATTGCATTAAAAAATATATATGTATGCAACTTCATGCTTCTTGTTTAAAATTTAATATATAATCACAGTAATCACAGCAAGCTTGAGCTCTGTACAATAATAATACCCACAATCAGATTACACTAACGTATTCAACTGACATGAAAAATGGCATCCGCACTGAAGCCGCAACGGAATGCAGTTAAATTGCAATTCAGATAAAGTAACAACATGCATCCTTGAAAACGTTTTAGTTTCTGCCTGCAAGCCATTCGCTCTGCCAAGAGCGAATCTTTGCAACTTCATATATGTGCACTTGACTAAATTTTTTCCATAGTCTGATACAGCTCGAACGCCAGCTCTTTAGTCATAAATTGCCATTTGGGCCATCCATATACGTACTGGAACATTTTTATAAGCACATTGAAAAACAATTTTTCAAATTTTTTCCTCTACAACATCCGCCCACAATCACTTTTAAATTTTGGCTAACAAAAAATGTATTTTTTGTTGTTGCGAAAAGTTCCACTGCATGCATTAAATAGATTCAATATTTTTTATTTTTTCTTAATTTTTAGTACTCATCTAAAATGGAAAAAATTGTTGGCTTTTGTGTAAAATCACTTAAATCCTTTTTAGATATAATTGAATTAATTTGTTGCGTATCCAACAGCGTGTAAACTGGATTTGAATTCAATAATTTTTTTAAATTTAAAATTCAATGAGTACTCATATATGAATACAAATATGCAAATAAAATGAAAAAAAAAAACTAAAATGTTTTAACTTCAAATTTAGTTTCAATTAACATAAGTACTTCATTATTAAGTTTTTTCATTAAACTTAATAATGAAAAAACATCCTTCGTTGCATTATAGAAGCAGTGTATCACTATACTACCTCTTTCCTCTTCAGAAAGAGACGATTAGGTTAGAGTGGCTGCTGTGTACACCAAAGCCTACTTGAACCCATTGTGGTGAAAATCGGTTAAATGATGTATGTAGCGTTTAACAATACAATCTATATATAGGTTAGGTTAGATTAGTTTGAAGTGGCGGCCTTATGTACCAAGAAAACCCCACTTGAGCTCAAGTAATGGCCCGTTGTGGTTCTTACATAGACAATGTGATCATTACACAACCAATGCAGAAAAAGGCAACGACTCTCATTAGATAAAGCTAAACCAACCTGACAATTCTATGAATCTAGCTAGGTCCCTTATACTGTAAGATGACAGCTCATTCAGATCGGTCAGAAAAGAGACCCACAAGATTTTTGATCTTCTCCTTGCTACAGATGAACACTGACACATGAGATGAAACATAGTTATTATGAGGAAGACACAAAGCTCATTATAAGGAAGACCAAATCTCACAGCATGCTACCCTATAAATCTATAGTGTAATTAAATATCAGCACAATCCTGGTCTCACCGCTAGAAGTAGTCATATCAGCAGTACATATATACATATGTATATAGAAATTTTTTTTGAAACTTAAGTGCGACTTCAGATAATATCAAGAAACTTTAGTCTAGATAGAAGTCAGTAGAAAAGAATTGCTACAAGTAAAAAATTTTTTCATTAGGTACACTGTTTTTGGGTATTATCTCAATTAACATTTTATATTCTTATAACTTTTTTATTCCGAGATGGTAAGTACCAGTGACAGTTAAACGAAAGTGCAGCTTTAGGCCTTTTATATATGTTAACAGGAAATATATGTCGCACCACAAACTGCTCTATCATTTTGATAAGACGAGTAATATCTCCTACTTGTTGAATTGTCGTTTATAAGAATCCCTCAAATAGAGGCATGATTGCTAATCTAAAGCAGACATGTAAGATAAAGCAGTATCTCATACAAAATAAGCTGTGTTGAACAGTATGTGACAAGCAAGACCCAATTCAAACAGGAGAATACTACACATGTAACACAATGAGATACATATTCATTAATACTGGTATAACGAAGACTTTCCTGTATTTTTAAATATTTATATCCAAAATATTATTTCATTCCCATCATTATTTACACTCAAACTACTTTGCTAAACTACATGGAGTATCAATAAAATTATTTACGAATAATTAAGTATAAAAAAGAATTCCAAAACCAGTGTTGTTGGATATTCTTCAATACTTGAAACAGCTGTATAGTAAGCTAAAAATTCAATTAATTGATAATAATAATAAATTTTGTTTTTGCAATTCACTACTCTACGTTGAAGCTATTTGAGCCAGGGCACTTGAGCACTTTTACTCTTTCTTAAGTCGAGTTATTTTCAAAACCCTCTTTACGCCTTGAGTGGATTATTGTTTATCAATTCATCAACAAAATACCTCTCTATTTAGAACAATAGTAGATACATTATATGGGTATATAGTATTGAGAATTAAGAATTATACCCATGTTTCGTTCGTGAAAACATACGTTTAAAATCAATTTAAACTGCTTTAAAATTATTTTATTACAAAAGTACCGATTTTTTTTAATTTATTATTGTATTAAGTATTAATTAATTTTCAATATTTTAACTTAAATACAGCTTATTCAAGCAAATGAAATAAATTTCCACAAAGTAACGATGGTCAAACGTAACAAAATCCTTGACGAAACAATCACTTGGTGCAAAACTTTTTGTATATTCAAACCTCAACCATGACCTTTTGAACTTACCAATCATTTTAAATTGACCACATACGAGTATATACTGCGATGGATTGTTAGCCATTTTTATTGTCCGACACTATTGCCACTCTACTTTAAATTGTTCGACAGAGCTTATAAAAACATGGCAAGGATGAAAAGAATGTTCTGTAGTGATGATATTTCCACAATTTCCATAAATTTGCTCGATTTAAAGCACGTAATGAATGTTAGAGAAAAATATTCCAGAATTGAATAATGGATGTAAAGTACTTAATCAATTCACAAGACGAAATGTAAAGTAAAGATATGAGTCGAATAAAATTAGTTAGAATAAAGTCATATAAATGAGACAAACTTTTTCGTTGCCGTTACAAAGTTCAGATTTTAGGTACTTTTCTTCTCTGTAGTGTAATAAAAACGTTTGTTATCTTTAATAAAATTTTAATTTTAAACCAAATTTAAACCAAATTTATCTCGTGATAAAAATATCAGCACGTGTGCATGTTCTGCTCACATGCTAGTCAAGTGTTAAGAACGAGCAATATTTAAAGTACCCAAAATATCTAAAAAAGAAAGGCTCGTCCAAAGTACCAAGTAAGCGAAAATGTGCAAGTTAATTTTGTAAATAATAATTGTCTATTATTTTGACTTTAAAATTAGATTTGCGTTATTTCAATGAAACTGATTACTGGGTGACGATGCCGGGTAACGAGCAAAAATAGTTCAGTTTTTCTTGTATAAAAGCCAGCGACTGGAAATCAATTGTGTCAAAAACCAAACAGACAAGCAACAAACCGACAAGATGTTGAGCTTCAGTGCAACTTTCTCGACTGGTTTAGTCCTGTTGATACTTATGCCTGCAGCACTCAAGGCATATATAGGTAAATATAATATATCAAAAAAAATTTAAATGAATTATTCTAAAAAGCATACATCACACAGATGTTGACTACCATCCCATTGACAAGCTGGTTGGAAATCTTCCACGCAACCCCTATTTGCGTATGAATATGGCCCTAAACAAGTACACACCACCTGAGGAAATGAGTTCTAGTTTTTGGTACGATAATGCACATGAAGAGGTACAGAAACGTTTGAATGCACAGAAACTCAATTTGAAAAAAGCAAAGAACGTGATCATGTTTTTGGGAGATGGTATGTCCTTAAACACAGTTACTGCTGCACGTATATTGAAAGGTCAAAAAAAGGGCAATACTGGTGAAGAGGAAATTTTAAGCTTTGAAAAGTTCCCTTACATTGGCTTAAGCAAGGTACTGTAAATAATTTTTAAAATATATGCAAATAATTCATTATGTCCAAAATATAAATTTGTAGACCTATTGTGCTAATGCACAAGTACCAGACTCTGCCTGTACCGCCACAGCTTATCTATGTGGTGTGAAAACAAACATTGTGGAAATTGGCGTCACCGCTAATGTTAAATACAATGACTGCGAAGCAAGCATGGATCCACTCAATCATGTTAGTTCAATAGCAGATTGGGCACAAGCTGCTGGTAAATCAACCGGTTTTGTGACCACTACCACTCTAACACATGCCAGTCCTTCCGGTTCTTATGCACATGTAGCAAATCGTTTCTGGGAGTGTGATACCGATATACGAACACAAATTCCAGACGTTGATGTCACAAAATGTATGGATATAGCTCAGCAATTGGTCACACAATCACCTGGTAAAAATTTCCAAGTTATGATGGGCGGTGGTATGGGTAAATTTTTACCAAATACATTGCAAGACTTACATGGAAAAATGGGTGAACGTCAAGATGGAAAAAATTTGCTTTCTACTTGGCAAGCAATGCATGAAAAAGGTGTAATAGTTAGCAATCGCGATACACTATTGAATCTTGACGTATCAAAGGTCGACAATATCATGGGTATTTTTGGCTCAGCTAATATGAATTTCCATTTGAATGCTGATCCAGCTAAGGAACCAACTCTGGCTGAAATGACAGAAGTTTCACTCAAATTGTTGAGTAAAAATGAGAATGGTTATTTTATATTTATTGAAGGTGGTCTCATTGATTATGGCAATCACGCTAATATGGCTGGTGTAAGTACAGATGAAACACTTGAGTTTGAAAAAGCCATACAACTCGCACGTGATATGACTAATCCAGAAGATACTTTGATCGTTGTAACTTCCGATCACGCACATCCATTAAGTATATCTGGCTATCCAGGAAGAGGAAATCCTATTTTGAATTTGAACGTAAACGATGAAGATGCAAATGGTATACCTTATGCTACTCTAAACTACGCTGTTGGTACGAATCAATATTTGGATGAATCCGGTAATCGTATTGATTTAACTGGCAAAATGGGTGGTTCAGGTACGAACTGACATTAAGCACTTTTTAACTGAAATAACATATTTGCATTACTTTTTAGATTTTGTTTTCCCAAGTTATATCAAAACTGATATAGGAGTACATGCCGGTGACGATGTTGGTATTTTTGCTTCCGGGCCATATGCTCACTTATTTGCTGGGTCATTGCAACAGAGTACTATACCACATTTAATGGCCTATGCTGCATGTATTGGAAACGGACCTACTGCTTGTGATAATGTTGAAGAAAATTGACCGTTTGTGAAAATTTATTCGAACTAAATTTTTTTAAACTAAATTTGTTTAAATCTACTTTAAAATTGAATAAAATGAGCATTTATCTTTAAAATTAAATTTATTTTTTTTTGTTTTGTTCCAACGAGTCTATTTATGGTTGACTTAAGTGCGCTATTTAGTTTCTTAAAGACCTTTAAAAACGACCCAAACTATCGCAAGCCATTTATATTCGATTTTCCAGCCTTATCAGGGGTTTCGTTACCATTGAAACTTTATTAACCATCATATCATATCGTACTATCCAACTCGAACATGGGTAGATTTTTGAATCTTCAATAGAGATTTTATAGTTGCAGATTGAAGAAATTTTATAGCTACTTGGCTATCCAAGTATATAGCAATATCACTGTTTTTGATTCATCTTTCAAGCATTCCATACAGATTTTGATAGTATGCACTGACCTCATTAAAAGCATTATGGAAGTTTCATAGTAAGTTCATTTTCTAAACATCATAACATGAGCAGATTAATGACTATTTAACGTCTATATCATAAGATCGACAGATGTCAACGTTTTTTATTCATCTTTGGAAAGTGATAGTTAGTTAATAAAAGCATATTTTACTAAGCTACCAGTGATTACTTTAAGTTAAGATCTGAATGCAATCACACTAACAAACATTGACAACATTTGTATTGTTGATTCGAGTGAACTGGTTAACTTATCCAAGACCTTTGTGAGCGACCCAAACTTTCGTACGAAGTTTACATACAATGTTTCTAAGTAGAAAGTTATTGAATGCTATGAAACGAGTTAGAATATACTCCTTTACAGCTTTGTCAGAGGTTTCATTACCATCGTAACTTTCATGGCTAGGGGTAGTACTAGCCAATTCAGATTTGAGATTTTTAAAATTTCAAACCTAATAGGAATTTTGTAGTACAAGATTGCAGAAATATTATAAGCAGCCTAGCTATTCTAGTATATAATAATGCTGATGCTTTTGGTGCGTCTTTCTAGCCATTTCTACAAATCTAATAAAAATACATATTTGACTGAATAATTATGGAAGAATTGTTTAAAAATTTTCCACAATTTCAATGGAACCGATAGATTAAATTTGAGTTCAAAAGCATCGCCCAACATAAGCAACTGGAATTGTATAAAGTGTCCATTTCTATTGTTATTATTATTGTTTTATGAGATCTTTTGTGGTATTCCTAAACAGTCTCTTTTAAGTTAAAAATGAAATATTAAAGCTATTCACAAACCTAAAAGTCCCTTTATTTACATATAGTTTATAAAATATGTGTCATATCATTGCTTCATAAACTAAATATACCTTCTCACATCCTGTATGAATAATGCTGATAAATTCATAGTATCTTAAGTATTTTTACTTCTAGTCGAGACAATAACTATTTTTAATGTAGACAGAATAATGAACTTATATTCTAAAATTTGTGTGTCATTCAAACGGAAACATCACGTTTAGTTAGAGAATATTCACATGCTTCACAATCATAAAGTTTTATCTATTAAAGTGCTTCGTTTAAAAATGTTCAAAAAGAATTGCAAGTAATAAATTATGACGGGAAGGCACGTTTCCAGTCGTTTGTGTTAGTTAGTATCTCATTAAAGTTTATATGAAAAAATATTTTATGGTTTTTGAGTTTCTGCAAATAAAAGAACTGTACAAATTTTTAATTGTTTTATTAAAGACAGGTAAGAACTACGATAACTAAAGTTCAACGAGACAATGTGGTTGCATTAAGATTAATGTTAAGAATTTTTACTATATGTTATCGTAAAATCTACTTAATCTTATATCATAATTATTTTCTAACACGCGCTTTTAAAAATAAAATAAATAAAATATTGACATTAACTGCAACTAACTGTAATTAGAAGAGATTTTGGTGGAAATGCTAATGGACACAACAGGCACAATATAGGTCCATGTGAACTCCCAACCATATTCGATTACTTAAATACTTTTAAACAAGACCGTTAAATTCTTGCGACTCGTGGAGTTATGGTACATTAGCATGATTTTCTCAGTATTACGTTCCTTGATTAGGTTCTATACATAAGAAAGGAACAAATCATGCAACGAATAATGCCTCTAAAAACAGAATAATATTGAAATTTAACAATTAAAAATAAAAATATAATTTATTAATTCAATTAATCTACTGTTGGTTTATGATTTTGATTTTGTAAATTATGATTTTGTTAATTAACAAGACCCCATAAAAAAGTGCGAACATAAAAGTCAAGTACGACTTTGGGTCAGTTGGTTAAGGTGCGCTGACTTTGAGCTTCAAATTTGGCAGGACACGAGTTCCATTCCTGCTACTTGCAGTCTCAAAAATATATATACGAATAATTAAATACAAGAAATAATTGCAAGACCACTTAAGATTGGTATTTGGCAGATGTTTTATCTGTATGGTCACCCAAAGAATTCGATTAATTAAAATAATATAAAAAAAAAAATTAATTTTTGTTGTTGTAGTTCACTACTGTTCGAAAAACCTCTTTAAGAAATATCTTCGCAAAAATACTTGCAAAAAATGAAACCGAAATAAATGTTTTGTACTTTTAAATACCCAATCTGCCTATTTAATTACTTTAGAAGACATTTCTTCTGTCAAATACAGAATCTACCAATAAAATTAGCTAAAAATACTTATACTTATAACTTAATTACACATATCAACTAATTAACGCTCACATTTTTTTAAGATAACAATAAAAGCACCTCCCGCTTCCAGTTATGAAACCCCATGGCATCATCTAATCATTATCGCTCACACAATGAGACAAAATGAACTTAACAGCCAAAAAAACAATCTTAATTGTGCTTGCTTTGCTTCTTTTTCAAGATTTTACGACACGCCAACTGTGAACTCTCATTAAGAGCAAAAACAAACTCTTAAAACATTTCAAACACCCGCTAAAATTGGCAATCGTCCAAAGTGCATTGCAGCACGCCCATTACTTCTTGAATAATCGCTGCGAATTTTATTGTGCTCCACGGTTTCCCAACAACAAAAACAAACAAAAACAATAATACTAACAACAATAAAAGCAATTGAGTGCAGCATTTCAGAGCTAGAAATTATTATGCAAATGAATTACAGATAAAAAATAAAAAATAAAAAACTATTCAAAAAATATTCAAAATATATTCCACCGAAACTTCCAAATTTGTTTCGGAAGGCAATTAAAGTGCAATAAGCATATATTTGCATTTAATATCCTTGCATCCTTGAAAATTTCCATTTAACGTTAGTTTAAATGGTTGAAACGATTGCAATTTTCTGCTCGATTGCTGGAAAGTTTTAAAAAATTATTTAAAATTATTTTTTATCATATATTTTATGTCATACTCGATTTGTTGATTTGATAATTGTTAAGTTGTTTAAAAAATCTGATATGAAAAATTTTTTATCTAAATACTCGCACGACATTAAATTAACACGAATGCTAGCATACTTTTGGGCGTACAACAAACCAATTAACTACCTTAATTATACGGTTAAATTAGTTCACATCTATACTCTCGTTTTATTCATTTTTTATATATCAAGCAACGCGAAGTGTGATTTTGGGAAGATTTGAAAGAAAACCACTGCTTTCTTTTGCAATGCCTTTAAGGAGGACATTTAAGCCACACCTGCAGAAATAATTTATGGTGAAAGGTTTAAGATGCCTGGCGCTTTTTAAGACATACTATGTAGAGAAGAACCAAATACCGACTTTGAACTTGCAAGATTTAGCTATTTGTTTACATGAATTTTTGTTATGCTCTTATGGTCCTTTCATAACCAAAAATGCTTTTAGGGACATACAACCTAAAACGCTTCAAGGATTGCATAGAACAAACGAAGAATAACCTAAGAATTATTACCGGATTACTAAACGGTCACTGTAGTTTGAGTAATCATACGACATAGTTAGAAATCCAATCCAATTCACACTACAGACTTTAATAGAGAAGTGAGAGAAACGGCAATCCATGTGCTAGGGTAGTACCCAACACGGATGCACTAGCGGAAGAAATACCTAACAGAGTATTTTATGGAACGTAGGGATTCAATCCTAGAAAAGATATGCCCCATACTGTCTTTCATTAAAGAAATCGGACTTGAAGAAACACTATAATCCGACTTAGTATAATATCCCTTTTTCATAATAATAATGATGGTCCTTATAAAGTAATTAGGCGAGATAACTAGGATATTATCTGCTTGGAAAAAGAAAATCCATTGCAGCTGAGCATTGAATAGATCAAAGATGAAATTGTTGAATTCTAATTATGGTGCTTACAAAGTGCTTCAGCTAGATAGCTAGCTTATTACTCTTTCAAGAAAAGAAAATCCGAAGTATTCAACAAATCAAAGATGTGTACATTTTCGTCTTATTATGGTCTTTACGAAGTGATTAACGAGAACTTTAGTACAGGTAAGCTTTGAACGGGTCAAATGTTAGTACTTTCCCCTCCTATAATGATCCTTATGAAGTAGTAGCAATATTTTTACGTTCCTGAAAAAATAAGGTCTTATGAAAGTGCGCTTTGAACGGGTCAAAGGTTGGTACATTTCCCTCTCACAAAGGTCCTTATGAAATGGTTAAGCGATGTTGCAATATTTTTATCTTTAAAAAAAAATAAGAAATCTAGTACATCTCAGCTTAAAATAGGTCAAAGAAACATATTATCTAAACGAAAAGTTTAATCAGTTATGTGGTAGTCAAATAATGTCAGCTGCGAATAAATATAGTATGGACAGATACTTTTAGGAAAATAAGTGCAATGCCCAAATGGGTATGAAGTCATTTGTGATATAGTTTCCTATGACAGCAGATGAAACAAACTACAACATCGCTTAGCATGCTAGCTGTTAATGGAACATTCAGCACGTAGAATACGTGTTTAAACATTTTGGGATGTATTAAATTCAAGTAATCAAAGGAAATCAACTTGAACCGAGTCTGAAGGCGTTTTCTGCATTATTCGTTGAAAACACTAACGTCAAGAATATTTTAAAAAATGAGATCAGAGTCAATTATTTTTTGCTTATAA